GAGAAATCGGCCAAAATACCAGCAACAGTGTGCGAAAACCTTGCGAAGACTTACAGAAATTGTTTGAGCTCTGTCATTGCCAACAAAGGGTATATAACAAAGTATTGAAAAAATATGCAAATACATTACATTTTTTAAGTGGGAGAACTTGCACAATTGGTAGCTGACTAAATAATTTGTCCCACTGTATATATTTCCTCATGTTTAACTTACAGAATGGGCAGTAATTGTTCAGCAAAATTCTGTAAACATCATCCATTCTTTTCACTTATTTAAAGTGATAGTCTGTAACTCTAAATGAATTACAAAATTTAGGAAATGTGTTAAATTGACCTCCTGGCCTTAAAGGAACAATATGTAAAAATCTGGCCAAAAGTGGAACTGCAGTCACAGTCAATATGTTGTAGTCCTCTCCCACTCTCCCTGACTCAGGTTGCCAGATTCACACCAAATCCAGCAGCAAACACAGGGAATTATTTTATCAGCTGTTTGTCCGTCTCCATTCACATTGCCATGATGCTAATGCTGAATGAATGTTTTGATTAATGTTTTTTTATTATTATTATTTGGACATTTGAGATAAAAAACAAAAACAAAATAAAAGCAATGTAATTATACATAGTTTATGCAAAATAAATAAGCAATTGATGTCCAAAATAGGAGTGGGAAGAACGGATGTTGGAACGTATTTCTTCAGCGTATCAACATCAGGGTTTGCTCAAGAGGATATCACCTTTCAATTTTATTTATTCCCTATTTTTTAGACAAACATGTAAAAGTCCCACATCAAAAAGAGACTAACATTATTTTAATTGGGGTACATGTGGTCTTAAATGATTATTTTTTACAATTAAGCTATAATCTGCAAAAAAACGTCTTGACTTTTGTCTTTTACCGTTTTTAGAGCAATCTGTCATAGAATGTGATAACATGCAATAAATACAAAAAGACATAGCCCGGGATCGAACATGGGTTCCTGCATCGTAAGCGCACAGTTTTGACCACTAGACCACCGATTCACACGAACAGAGACACTGTGAAGAACGGACTCAAACTAGCAAATTCTGTATCACACGTAAACTTTTATCAGCTGTCTCAATTGTTCAAAGGCGTCCCGTTTTAGTCTTTGTTTTGTCATTAAAGGACAACTCACCCTCAAATCCACTTTTTTTGCTGATAAACGGTATAAATGAGTGTCCAATAGTGTTGTCTACATATCCTGGTCATAATCTTGTCACTTTGGTGCAAATTAGTTGAAAGTTAAACTTTCTGCCTAAAACCGTCTGTGAGGCGCCATCTGCTGGCGACCTGTATTACTACATTTGAATTTTGAATCTGGCGCCAACACTGGCACAGAAGTTGGACCTGACGTCTGCAAGTTGGACTTGACGTCAGCAGCCCCCCGCCCAGAGCAATGTAAACGGCCCAGTCTCGTTCACGCCCCCTTCAGTCCTCCAGGCTACGCCCATTTAGAGGAAGATTTGAACAGGAAATGTGAGTGACGTAAGCTCCGAGGAGCGGGGGTGAGAACCACTTTAATGATTTGAGAGTCATAACAAGACCTTTATTAGTTCTGCGCCACATGTTATTTTACCACTGAGATTAGTGAGCCGCGCGGAGTTCTGGCAACCCGATCACGGACTTACATGACACTTCCTGATTGGCGAAACGGCGGAGGGTAGGACATCAAAATCAAAACAATAACAACTTTTACAGGTCGTAAAACTAATTTTGATAATCAAATATCTCGGCTGAACTACTGTTATCAGTTAAAGATGAATTTGAAAAGAGTATGATTTAATAACGCCTTTTGAAATATTCGGGTCATTTAATGATGACTTGACATGCAAATATTACATATTGCTCCTTTAAGCCCAATTGGGAAGAGCAAAGTCGCTTTGGTTCCTGTTGACTTACATTGAAAAGTAAATTCCTCTTGCTTTGTAACAGTTGAAGTGATTGTCTGGAGTTTGTCAGAAAAAAGAGAGAGAGGTACATGATTTGAAACAAAAAAAAGGTTGCAAAAGGTTCAGTTTATAAATGGGTAACTCAGCGCGGATGTTCAGAATTCTTTTTTCAGTTTTCATGTAGCTCCAGAGCCTAATAGAGGCTTGATTCGGAGGCTCCGTGAAAAAAAACAACTGAGCATGCGCGCAGCTACGAGCATGAGCGCTGATGATTGACAGCTCTTGGCATCACTTGATTGGTTAAAGTGATAGTCTGTAACTCTAAATTAATTACAAATTTTAGGAAATGTGCTAAATTGACCTCCTGGCCTTAAATGTTGATATAAAATAAGTCATTTTATTAATTCTAATATTACAGGCAAGTCCCGCCTTCCCTGCTCTTAGCTATAGTTCAGAATCCACGGTGCCGTCGAGGTTAACCAATCGAGTCATGCCAAGGGCTGTCAATCATCGGTGCTGATGCTCGCAGCTGCTCGCATGCTCAGTTGTTTGTTTTTGCAGAGCCTCCGAATCAAGCCTCTATTAGGCTCTGGAACTACATGAAAACTGAACAAAGAATTCTGAACATCCGCGCTGAGTTACTCATTTATATTCTGAACCTACATCCATAATCAGATCCTCTGCAGATGTGTCCTATAATGTGCAATTCATGATAATAGCACTTCCTGGTTTGCCGCGATCGCTTTTTGTGTGCATAAAAACATTATTTTTTTCATTAAAACGTTCACAAATAATTCTGAAAACCTCCGTGCATGTGTATTAATAATGTATATGTATAATGTGTTCTCTGATTAACATTTCAAAGTGTTACACTTAACACATAGGTGTAGACCAATCAGAAAGGAAGGGGGAGGGAGCTTGCGTCGTTTTTTTTCAAATTAAGTACCTCTCTGTCTCTCTTTCTGACAAACTCCATACAATCACTTTAAAGTGGACGGCATCGTGGATTTTGAGCTATAGATAAGAGAAGGGAAGGCGGGACTTACCCGTAATATTAGAACTTTATTTTATACCTTATACATTTAATTGTTATCAAACATGTAATTCATTTAGAGGTCCATACTATCACTTTAATGTCACACAATTTTTTTGGGATTGAAAAATGTATGTCCCTGTTGTTGTTTTTTCTGTATTCTCTTATATATGAGCCATATAAGGTAAGCAATCTTGTGTTCAAATAGCCTTCAGCGAACAGCCCCCACTCAGCTCAGTGTTAATATGTGGTCGATGGTGTGAGTTTTCAGTGTTGAATGAGTGAAAGGGAAGTCAGTCAAATAAGCGTTTTCAAACCGTGTTGGGTTTTTTGTGTGAAAAGTTTTAGAAAAACACATAAATTGCACGTGTAATGTGTTACTTTAATCTGTGAAAGGCGAGTCTGATTTGAAGTTATTGACTTTTTAGTGGGTCTTTGTTATCTAAGTAATATAATGCAAATGTGCAAAAACAAGGTGTCAACAAAACACGAGTGGCATATCCTGTGTAAAAGCTCTACCTTGCAAGTGTCCAAGGTATAGAGCTGTAACTTTCATAATTGGACAACTTGCAAAGATTTATCACCAAAACTTTTGTCGTCTGTCTGACTCTGCACACTTGAAGCAATAGAAATACTGGCACAGAGTTTACCAACAGAGCAAGATAAAACCAATGTTTACTCATTCTGAAGCTTCGCATGGTGTCACTATCGCCACTGTATCGGCTCTGTAGTTTAAGTCTTTGATGCTGTTTGTTCATAAAGGGAAACAGTTTTGACCACGGAAATGTCATGTTTGTTTATGCACCATTACATTTCACACTTTGTCGTATGGCATTTATACAAGTAATGCAGTTGTTGACTAGAATGCAAGCTTTCTGGAGCAGGTCTTTTGTTTTTGCACATAAATATATAAATATGGATTTATTTTTGTATAAGATTGACATGTATCTACAGTCCACAAATGTCTGCATGCACTGGTTCTTTTGAAGATATCTAGTCTGTGCATTATAAAAGAAGCAATTCCTTACAGTATGAAGTAAAATAGCAACAGCAGCCAAAAGCCTGTTAATCTTTAATATTCTCTATAGTAGAGGCAGAGAGGCTGCATGTTAATCAGCCACGCTATGTGAAGGAAAGTCTGTTGTCTTGATTAATACGAGGAGCTGAAAGCGGGAAGCAGGAAATGGACGGCAGCCTAGAGAATATAAAGTCAAGTTTACGACAGTCACTTTGTCAAGTTCAAATGCCTTGTGGAGCGCAAAGGTTTTTTATGAGTCCTGGATTGCTGTTGTTTCAAACCTGTTATTCATCATAAAACCCTCCACCATTCACAAGTTTTAATCTGCATTCATCTTTTATTCTATAACATATCTTCAGTCTTCTTTAAATGAAACACTTTTACACTCTTACCTTAGTTGAGCGCGTACATATTGGCTTGGCACACGCAAAAAAATAAAATTCTTAACCAACAACAGATTCTAAGTCATACATTTAATGTCCATGGATTACTGTATGTAATCAATATTTTACAATCAAGTAACAATGTATTATTTATTTGTTATCTATTTATATTTGTCTATCTTCCCTATTCGCCACTGTGTCACTGGGCCTTTCTGTGGAGAGTTTGTATCTTCTCCCTGTGTTTGCATAGGTTTCCTCCAGGTGCTCCAGTTTTCATTTACCACATTATCACCCTGTTATAGAGATCTCAGTGGGTCTTTCCTGATTAAATAGAGGTCAAAGTATATATATATAAAATATATAAATGATCTGGGTTCGATCTTGTGGGGGACAAGACCTACTCCAACTGCTCCCACTAATGTGTGCTGTCGATGAGTCCCTGGGCAAGACACTTAACCCCACATTACCTGAAGCCCCCGCTGAAACACAGAGGCTGTGTCACCGCTGGCAGCAGCAGCCATCTTCCTGTGCTAGGAGACTTGAGTGACAGCTCTGATTGTCACCCTCCGATCCAGAAATGGACAAATAAATATATTTATTATATATTTACTAATATTATTTTTTTTTTGAAGTCCGTTTCATGTTTAAATTAGCAGCAGATGGTTAATCTCCTGCCTTGTGGGTTCACAGGCACGTGGTCCTTCTCAGTGTCGGAGCTGGCCATCCCAGGGGCAGAGATCGGCCGCATCTCAGCCACAGACGCAGACCTGGGGGAGAACGCACGGCTGGTCTACAACATCCTGGACGGAGAGTCAGGAGACACCTTCAACATCAGTGCAGTGAACCAAGAGGCCGTCATCACACTCAACAAGGTCAGGGGAGCGTGTCTTTACATGATAATTATGTTATTACATGTGTAAGTGTCAATGGCAAGTAACAACTCAAAAGCTCAACAGTAGGGCTGGGAATCGCTAAAAAAACTCTTATGAATCCATAAATAATGGCAATCACAATTAATTGATTGTGATTAATCGCAGCACTTTATGAATTGTTTCTGTAGTTAAGGCCACAACTACAGGATCTCAGCTTCCTAAAGAGTCCATCCATTTATTTAAAGTGTTCTCAAACATATTCAGTTTTAATTTAGTTTTTTTCAGTAATTTTAGACAAAAGAGGCTGGGAGCGTTGGGTTTTTAAAAAGAAACTTTGTAAACATGTCAATTTGAGTGGGACAAAGCTCGACGGACAGAAATAAAGAGGGAAAGGCAAAACATTGCATCACTTTCCCATGAGTTGGAACGATGTGAGTATAAAGCTTTAATTAATTTTATCTTTCTGTGTCCGATACGTTTTCCAAGAAAAAAAGTCATTTTGGATGAGGCGCATCATTAAAGTCTGTTGCAACTGCATTGAGACTTGTCAGTGATTCACTGGAGGCATGTTTTAGATGGAGGAACACAGTTATGCAACAGAGGATTTAATTTTTTTTTAATGTAGTTTAAATTCAAAACAAGCCAAATGTCTTAGAATCGGATTGATGTAGTAGTAAGTAAGTAAGTTTTATTTATATACCGCCTTTCACAGACCAGAGTCACAAAGCGGTTTACAATTGTTGTTTTTTGGGCATTTGTCTCTCACTCCACACAGAGATGGGAGCGGGGTCGCCGAACAGGAGGCGCATGCCAGACCTATTGTACATATTTTTAGTGGTAGGGGAAACCGGAGTACCCGGAGGAAACCTACGCAGACACGGGGAGAACATGCAAACTACACTCAGAAAGGCCCTGGTCCGGCCGGGATTCGAACCCAGGACCTTCTTAATTAAGGTCCTGGGTTCGACAACAACAATTACCAATTAATTATAAAAGATTGGTAATTGTTGGCATTGAAACAATTATCAATGCTTAATTTAGGATTCAATGTATTTGAATAATATACATTTATTTACAATAAATTTATTTACAATAGAAAAAAATGCTGTGTTAGAATCGTTGTCAGTGTCTGTTATAAATTATTATAATTTATAAAATAAATATAATTATAACAAACTATAATCTATAAATTAAACTATACTGAGTCCTTAATATAATTCATAAATACATCATTGTACCCAGTAGCAAAGAATATATTGTGTTCTTATCAAAATCCAAGTTCAAATAATAGTTCAATCAATCAATTGCAATCAATATTAGTTTAATTTTGATCAATTTCACATACTAATTGTACACACGATGCTACAACAATCACATGTTTAATGATTTGTATCTTTTGTTTGTTTACAACTTTTCCCTGTGTAATGATATTTCTCCATCAGGGACAACGATCTTATCTTAAATGACTGAGCTAAAAATGCCATAGAGTAGTGTCCTGTACCTCAAACAACGCTCGCCATTGTCTTCATAACAATCGAGACAAAAGTATAAATTGTTGAGGGTGAGAGGCTGGTCTTAGTCAAAGCATTAGTGCAGACAAACAGGAGTACAGGGAAATCCCACAACTATATTTATGTATAATTGTACTGCAGTAAATAGACACCAACACAAATGCAACAAGATGGATAAATAATGTAATATTATGTCATTTTCAAACATTGCATTAGAATCATCTCATTTAGCATTAAATCAAAGCGTATCGTATTGATCTAAAAATGACATTTCACCCTCATGAGGCCATGTGACCCAACGCTGTGACGATACGACTTTTTTTCCGCTCCTGTCAGCGAGAAACTGGATGCATATAAAACCCAACCATCAAAGTATTTAATATTCAATATCCAGGATTACTCTCAGGAAGAATTTCAGTCATGTGTGGCCTTGTTTAAAAAAAAAAAAATGATTTTTTCACTAAAGGAAATACAAAAACTAAAACTATACAACTATAGTATATAGTTACATGCCAGAAGTCCAGGGTGGGAGTACAATAACTTGTGATGTTATGAGACCAAGTGTGGATTCATGTAAAGATAAAAGATGAATGTGAGAGGTCGTAAACTGTGTAAACAATTATATATACTTGAATAATAATTATGAAAAACACTTTTGTATATATTCAAATATTTGACTTACTGCCATTTCTTAGTGCAACTTATTAGAATGCCTTCAGCCATAATAACATTGCAGCAGTGATGTTGCAAAGGACATGTTGTTCTTATAGAGGATTGGAAAAAGGCAAATGTGTACTTGATAATTGCTTTGTGTTATGTACGAAGCTGGGGTAATAAGTAAGTGTGATCACAGCTGTGGAGATGTTCCAATCTGCTGCAAACTCACACTAACGAAAGTTCAAAACAAATTAGATACAATATGTTGTTCGGGGAGAACATGTGTGATTTCAGTTGTTGGGTCTTTGGGAATGCTGAAATTGACCCAAAAGTTACAGTCATACATTCAGCATATGTTTTCCTACTGCACACATGCATAGATGTGTATTTAACAGTTTCACCATGTGTCAATATATTTACACTTTTATCAGATCAAAATGGAGCAGATTCAGACTTCAGCGCATGCACTAAATGTACTTAAAGACCTTATACTGGGTTTGATTTATTTAGAAATACAGTTTTAATACCATTTTATATTAGAAGAGAACTCCTAAAAGTTTCAAAATCAGTTGTTGTTTTTTTTGTCTGATCCCCCCAAATCGAAATAACCCCATAGCAACGCCCTTAGAAACGAAAAAACTTCACAGCCCTTGGTGACGTCAGAGTGGGTACGTTTCAATGCTGTAAGTTGTTTACAATTTGGTATTCGTTCTTTTTTCGTGGATATTCAAGATGACAAGGTCGTGTTCAGCGAGTATTACACATGGATCTATTATATTAACTGGATAGGGTATTACTAGCTTGTAGCTGAATAACTCATGTGCTCAGGGGATTCTCGCGGTACTGCAGACTGAACCAGACTAAATTCACGTGGGCTACCCAGAAATTTTCCCCATAGAACTCAATGCATATTAAAACAGCTCAACCTCAGCTGACAGAGAACCTACAGCTTTAATAAAGATCGGATTTTGTGGGGATTTTAGTGTCCCTTGTCATCCTGAACTTTTTTTCTTCTTAAATCCTTCGGTTTTGTTTAAATCCACACTTTAGTGCCACAAACTCTGCTCGTCTGGCTCTCGCTCTAACTCCCGCTCTGATGAACTGCTCTGATTGGTCAGAGCGCGGCCGAGCCCCTCTGTGCACGTGCGTGAGACCTGGTGTGAGACCCACACACGCGTGTTTGACGCAACGCATTATGGGAGACCATCCACTGCGCAGAACCGGGAGGACCAGACGATGCCCAAATACAGGCGAGTTTCCCATAGATCTTTGCGAGTTTCAGGCAACTTCCGCTAATCTTTCAGCCCCCATGCCGTCACAAAGCGCCACTGAGCACAACCATTCATTTGAATAGGGCGCCATCTTGGATCGCCGGGGCTTGGTATTACATAACTACTAGACAGTGTTGTGCGTGAACGAGTTCAAAAGAACGCGTTCATTGAACACGCTCATTATTCGTGAACGTTGAACTGAACGCAACAATTTTTTTTTAAAAAGAACTTGAACGTGAATTAGTTCATTTTATGTGTCATGAACGGCAGACATCACTGTGAACGTTGGAATCTGTTTTCTCTTTTGAAACGCAACGAGAGAAAGTTCCTCCCTCCTGTATTCTCGCACTTTTTCCGCCGAAATCTAAAAATTCCTACGGTTTCCACCGCCTGTGAACGCACCCCGACTCCGTGTTGCGGTGCGGCGCTGTGAGCTGGTGCTTTTCACATGAAAACACAGGGTGAGTTAGCGACAAAGTTTACACCGTTTACATTTGACATGAAGTATAGACACACGCACTGCAGCGCATTACTGTCTGTAGTTTATGAGCAGAGATGGGGCAACTCCGTTTGGCTCCCATTGAAAACCATATAAATCTTGTCTGTTTTGTAGTCAAAAGGCTCTCCTCCTGTGGGTGTACAGGATATATATATATATATATATATAATTGTCCACTCACCTTTGGCCCTCCGCGGGCGGTTATCCCTCTCTAAGCTCGGGTCCTCTACCAGAGGCCTGGGAGCTTGAGGGTTCTGCGCAGTATCTTTGCTGTTCCTAGCACTGCACATTTCTGGACCGAGATGTCCGAGGTTGTTCCGGGGATCCGCTGTAACCACTCATCTAGCTTCGGGGTCACTGCCCCGAGTGCACCGATCACCACGGGCACTACTGTCACCTTTACCCTCCAGGCCCTCTCCAGCTCCTCTCTGAGACCTTGGTATTTCTCAAGCTTTTCATGTTCTTTTTTCCGGATGTTACCATCGCTTGGAATTGCCACGTCCACCACCACGGCTGTCCTCTGCCCTTTGTCTACCACCACGATGTCAGGTTGGTTTGCCATTACCATTCGGTCGGTCTGTATCTGGAAGTCCCACAGGATCTTTGCACGCTCATTTTCCACCACCTTTGGAGGAGTTTCCCACTTAGACCTTGGGGTTTCCAGCCCATACTCTCCACAGATGTTTCTGTACACTATGCCAGCCACTTGGTTATGGCGTTCCATGTAGGCCTTCCCTGCCAGCATCTTGCACCCTGCAGTTATGTGTTGGATCGTCTCAGGTGCCTCTTTGCACAACCGACACCTTGGGTCTTGTCTGGTGTGGTATATCTGGGCCTCTATCGCTCTGGTGCTCAGGGCCTGTTCCTGTGCAGCCATGATGAGTGCCTCTGTGCTGTCCTGTAGGCCAGCCCTTTCTAGCCATTGGTAGGACTTCTTGAGATCAGCCACTTCTGTTATGCTCCGGTGGTACATGCCGTGTAGGGGCTTGTTCTCCCATGATGGGCTCTCCTCCAGCACCTCCTCATCTCGCCACTGCCTGAGACATTCACTGAGTACGTCATCCGTTTTGGCCTTCTCCATGATGTAGTTATGGAGTTTGGATGTTTCGTCCTGGACAGTGGCTCTCACACTCACTAGTCCTCGGCCTCCTTCTTTACGGCTTACGTACAGTCTCAGGGTGCTGGATTTGGGATGGAACCCGCCATGCATGGTAAGGAGCTTTCGAGTTTTAACATCCGTGGTCTGAATCTCTTCCTTTGGCCACCTGATTATTCCTGCAGGGTATCTGATCACTGGCAGGGCGTAGCTGTTAATTGCCCGGGCCTTGTTCTTGCCATTGAGCCGGCTTCTTAGGACCTGCCTTACTCGCTGGAGGTATTTGGCAGTTGCCGCTTTCCTCGTCACCTGTTCGAGGTTGCCATTTGCCTGTGGTCTACCGAGATACTTGTAACTGTCCTCAACGTCTGCTATTGTTCCCTCTGGGAGTGAGATCCCTTCTGTGTGGACTACCTTGCCTCTCCGAGTCACCATCCTGCTACATTTCTCGAGCCCGAATGACATCCCGATGTCATGGCTGTAGATCCTGGTTGTATATATATATATATATATATATATATATATATATATTAGCTCGTAGTGTGAAAAAAATATGTATTTAAGTATCTCACGAAAAAAGTAAAATGAACTGAACTTTGAACTAGTTCAGAATTAAAAATGTGAACTTTGAACGTGAACTGTTCACTTTGAGCATGTATGAACTGAACTTGAACTAGTTCAGAAAATCTGTGAACTGGCACAAGACTGCTACTAGATTACATCACTTTGTTGTCACTGAGATAGTCCAGTGGTTGTGTCGATGGGCTGCCAATCTAGATACTGAGGTTCAAATCCCACCTCAGACACTTTTTCACTCTCAAAACGGCAATTTATGTGTAGTGAGCAATTGTCACCTGTAGAGTGCAGTATTGTGTTGGGCATCAGTGGAGAGAAGAGAGAAAAGGCATTCCTGTGGCATAGATCAATGGTTTTACAATGCTGGGCGTAACCCACTATGACGTCACACACAGGTTAGAGCATAGACAACTTAAATTCATGAAAAACACGTTCTTTTTATAAAATATAGGATTTTTTTTGCCGGAATCTCTTTTAGATTGACATTGTCATGCAATTTTGATATCCACAATTTAAAAAAAAAAAAACCCGGCATAAGGTCTTTAAACAAATGAATACAGTTATTTAACTTTCAATGTAAAGTCATTGGTGACTTCCATTCAAGCTTGGAACTGTATATGCGTCGCGGCACGAACACACAGACTGCTCAGCAGAGGCTCAGGAGCGGAAAATTGACATAGGCAGGAGATAAACATTGCTGAACTTTTTCCGCGGGACGCACCTGTAGCAACCAATCGGAGAGCCGCAAAGTGGTCACGGGGACACAGTGAGCAGACCAGGAGCTACACCAGGACTAAACCAGGTTTGACAATGGGGGACACAGTGCTTGTGAACCTATGCCTCCAGCCTGAGTTCT